AGCCTCTACCTACACATCTTCAAAATGTGTCCCTTTCTAACCAGTGACACCACAAATCTGCTAATTCACTCCCTGGTCATCTCTTTCTTCGACTACTGCAACTCCTTCCTCATTGGCTTATCTTTACTTAGGCTATACCCCTTCAGTCAATCATGAATGCTGCTGCCAGACTCATCCACCTTAACAACATTCAGTGTCTACTACCCCTTTCTGCCAATCCCTCCACTGGCTTCTGGTCACCCAACAAATTAAATTGAAAATACTAACAACAACTAGCAAAGCCGTCCACAACTTTGCCCCCAGCTACATCACTAACCTAGTCTCAAAATGCCAACCAAATCATTCTCTTTGTTGCTCCCAAGATCTCCTGCTCTTTAGCTCCCTTGTCACCTCCTCCAATGCTCACCTCCAGGACTTCTCCTGAGCCTATCCCATTTTATGAAATTCCCTACTCCAATCTGTCAGACTATCTTTTACTACTTCCACTTTTATGACGATCCCTTATCTTCAGAGAAACCTATCCTGCCCCCACCTTAAAGCTGTACTTTTATTTTCTTCATTAGCTCATCCCCCACAGTTATTACCTTTTTTATCTGTTGACCCTTTAGATTTTAGGTTTTAGATTGTAAGTTCTAAAGAGCAGGGCACTCTGATTCTTAATGATTTGAATTGTATTGCAAATGTACTGTCTGCCCTCATGTTGTAGAGAACTGCACAAACTGTTTTGGAATTGCTTTGGTTTATCCTTGTCAGCAATGCATTTGTTGTCAACAATTTCCACTTCCTCCAGGTGCAGGAGTGGTAAAGAGGATGCATTGTGTCTCATTGTACACCAGCATATACCTGGAGGGGTGAGAAACTGAATTATTTTTGGTTGACTTGTCTTTGTCGATGACTCTTGTCGATGATACTGGTGTGGCTTAGGTACATCGATGATATTTGAATTATTTGAACCAGTCCTAAGAACAACTTAGGTCATTTTATGATTCACTTTGCACTTAATTCTTACAACCTCAAATTTACTATAGAATGTAGTACTCAAGAAGGTACCTTTTTTGACAGCCGCATATTGGTCCAGCAAGATGGAAGAGTGATTTCCAATTTATTTAATAAAACCACAGCAGCGAATACATTCTTAATGCTGCAAGTGCTTACATGGATTCTTTGAAAAGAAGTATTCCCTATGGACAACATCTGTGCTTGTTCTAGGGAAGATTTTTTAAAAGAGGCTATAGCAAGAAAGTTTTGAAGAAGACCATTCAGAGAACCCCCTCTATAAATCTCTGGACACCCTGATTTATAATAAAACTGAACAATCATCATCTACAACATCTTGAGTGATTTTGCAATATTTGAAACAACATGGTAAGGTGAAGAGGGTCCTTCAGAGGCATTGGCGCTTGCTTCTGGTTAACTCTGATGTAGCCATGTTTATTGGAAAAACAACAGAAATGACTTATAATAGAGACCACGTAAGGGATTTCCGGCAAGACGAATCGCGGTCGTAAATGCGCATGTGCATAGGAATTTCCGGAGAAGAATTACCGGTTGTGTGCATGCGTGCAGAAATGCGTGATCGCGCACGAGCACAGCGAAGATTGGCGCCAGATGGCCTATTTAAAGAGCGTCTCTGACCATGTTAAGTGCTGACTGGTGTTCAGCTCCCCTGTGTCCTGCTTGTTCCTGTGTGATTCCTTTGTTGCTGACCCGGCTTTTTCCTCACCTGACTCTGATTGCTCTCCTGATTGATACTGGTTCCTGACTTCGGCACTGCTCCTGACCTTGGCTTTCCTTCTGATTCTGTACCGTGCTGCCAGACTGTTGATGACCCTGGCTATCCCATGACACTGCTCCTGTCTCTTACCCTCACTACCTGCCTTGCTCTGGTGCACGCCTGGCAATCTACAAGACCCGCTCTGCTTGTTACTACTGTGCCTGATTCAGAAGATCATCAGTCTTCCAGAGTCATCATCTGCAAGAGCTGCAAACAACAACTACTGGCGCTCTTGTTCCCCTGGGTCCTAGACTCCATCTGTTCTAGCTCCAGTGGGGTCAGGGCTAGTGACACAAGTGAGGCCGACCTCGTCATTTCAGTCTCCCATCAGGTACGTGACAGACCATATTACACAGAGTCATTACGTAAAGTATGAAGCTGGTGAACCCCTGGGAATCTCTAGTAATGGATTAATGTATTATATAATCTGCATTTGATATTTACTGCCATCTAAATCTGCACTGTCCAGCCACTGTACTATTTGTTTAGCTATTGTCTCGCAAATAAAACACTCTAATTTCAGTTTCAAGATAAAACCTTTCTTGTCTCTCCCTTTTATATTGTGGCCTAACCAAGCTGATTATATAGTGTCCAGCCACTGAACAATGTTTGCAGCTATTGTCTCTCAGATAACACGTTCTACTTTTTATTACAAGATAAAACCTATATAAATAAAACCTATACTACACAAAACCTATATAAATGTAGTATGATACTGTGAAAAATAGTAAGCTTGAAACTTAATTATTAAGCTGCTTTGCCACTTACCAATTTTTATGAAGTTGGGCTGCTGCTGTATTTAAACCAAGCTAAAAGTAAAAAGTTCAAATATCCAAAATATGTTATGCTGTTATATATTATATGTATGTTTTGTACTGTTCTGTAACTACATACAGCTTAAATTCATCTCCTAAGCATGTAATGTAAAGGACTGGTGTTTTCCCATGTTGCCCTTGAAGATGCAATAAAAGGACCCTTCACCCATTTTACCATATTATTTTTGCTTTGCTAAATGTCCTGCATGGCAGTGCTCCTCTTCTCATACCCTTACTCTGTCAAAAGCTTACCTATTAGTCTTGAAAATGGTCATAATTTAGTATAAAGATTTGTCCCCCCATAGACTTTAGCTGGGTTTGATGCTAAATTAGGGGTGTGTTGATTTCAGACTGAATACAGCAGACCTCCAGGAATCAAACTTGGGCAATTCTCTTATCCCTAATTTTTAACACAGGCTTAGCTGCATTTGGCCCTCAAATTAACGAAATGTGCAAAATAAATGAACATAAAAGTTTACATACTTAGTAGCATATACAGTTGCAAGAAAAAGTATGTGAACCCCTTGGGATTACGTGGAGTTTTGCATGAATTGGGCATAAAATGTGCTCTGAACGTCATCTAAGTCACAACAATAGAAGAACACAGTCTGCTGAACATAATACTACACAAACATTAGATGTTGCCATGGTTTAATTGCACATAACATGTAAACATTCACAGTGCAGGGAGGAAAAAGTATGTGAGGCCCTAGCTTAATGACTTCTCCCAGAGCTAATTGGAGCCAGGAGTGAGCCAACCTTGACTCCAATCAGTGTGATGATATTGGATGTGTTGCTGACAGCTGTCCTGCCCTTAAAAAACACACACCTGTTTTGGGTTTACTGGTTTCAAGAAGCACTGTCTGATGTGAACCATGCCTCGCAGAAAAGAGCTCTCAGAAGACCTACGATCAAGAATTGTTGACTTGCATGAAGCTGGAAAGGGTTGCAAAAGTATCTCCAAAGGCCTTGATGTTCATGTGTCCATGGTAAGACAGACTGTCTACAAATGGAGAAAGTTTAGCACTGTTGCTACTCTCCCTAGGGCGTGGTCATCCTGTAAAAATGACTGCAAGAGCACAGCGCAGAATGCTGCACGAGGTAAAGAAGAATCCCAGAGTGTCAGCTAAAGACCTACAGAAATCTCTGGCACATGCTAACATTTTTGTTGACACATCTACAATAAGGAAAACATTAAACAAGAATGGAGTACATGGGAGGACACCACGGAGGAAGCCATTGCTGTCCAAAAAGAATGTTGCATCACGTTTGAAGTTTGCAAAAGAGCACCTGGATGTTCCACAGCACTACTGGCAAAATATACTGTGGACAGATGAAACCAAGATTGAGTTGTTTGGGAAGAACACACAACACTATGTGTGGAAAAAAAGGCACAGTACAGCAACATCAAAACCTCATCCCCACTGTAAAACATGGTGGAGGGAGCATCATGGTTTGGGGCTGCTTTGCTGCCTCAGGGCCTGGACGGATTGTTGTCATTGATGGGAAAATGAATTCCAGAGTTTATCAAGACATTTTGCAGGAAAACGTACGACCATCTGTCTGCCAACTGAAGCTCCGCAGAGGATGGGTGATGCAACAGGACAATGACCCAAAGCATACCAGTAATTCAACAAAACAATTACTGCAACAGCACAGAATACGCCTTCTGGAGTGGCCCAGTCAGAGTCCTGACCTCAACCTGATTGAAATGCTGTGGCATGACCTTAAGAGAGCGATTCACACCAGACATCCCAAGAATATTGCTACACTGAAACCATTTTGTGAAGAGGAGTGATCCAAAATTACTCCAGATCATTGTGCAGGTCTGATCTGCAACTACAGGAAATGTTTGGTTGAGGTTATTGCTGCCAAAGGAGGGTCAACCAGTTATGAAGTCCAAAGGTTCACATACCTTTTCCTCCCTGCACTGTGAATGTTTACATGTTATGTGCAATTAAACCATGGCAACATCTAATGTTTGTGTAGTATTATGTTCAGCAGACTGTGTTCTTCTATTGTTGTGACTTAGATGACGTTCAGAGCTCATTGTATGCCCAATTCATGCAAAACTCCACGTAATCCCAAGGGGTTCACATACTTTTTCTTGCAACTGTATATTTACTGTAGGTTACATCTGTGCTATAAAACTTCAGTTTTGAATGCATAGATGGTCATAAGCAGGTAAAGGGGTAATTTATATGTCTCATCTTGTACTTCAAAAGTAATAAAGGTATTGTTTATTTAATTTGCATTGAAATCCTAATATACAAATCCCTTTTCTTTTGGCATTTTACTGCTATCATGTAAACAGGGAAATGTCGGTTATCGGCATTTCTCTCCTCTCGAGCTGTCACGCTGACAGCTCGAGAGAAGAGGAGAGCTGGTAATCGGCTTTCCGCGGAGGGGACATCTACACTGATCATCAGGGCACTGATGATCAGTGTGCCCTGATGATCAGTGTAGCCCCAGCAGTGCCACCTGTCAGTGTCCATCAGTGCCTTATGTCAGTGCTCATTAGTGCCTCGTGCCAGTGCCCATCAGTGCCACATATCAGTGCCTACCAGTGCACATCATTGCCACATATCAGTGCCCATCTGAGCTGCCTTTTAGTGTCACCCATCAGTGCCAGTCAGTGCCACCTATCAATGATAATCAGTGCCTCCTATCAGTGCTGCCAATCAGTGCCACCTATCAGTGCCAGTCAGTGCCGCCTATCAGTGCCAGTCAGTGCCACCTATCAGTGCACATCAGTGCCACCTATCAGTGCCTGTCAGTGCCGCCTAACAGTGCCAGTCAGTGCTGCCCATCAGTGCCAGTCAGTGCCGCCTATTAGTGCCAGTCAGTGCTGCCTATCAGTGCTGCCTATCAGTGCCATATATCAGTGCCATGTATCAGTGCTGCCTTTCAGTGCCCATCAGTGATGCCTGTCAATGCCCATCTGTGCCACCTACCAGTGCCTCCTCATCAGTGCCCATCAGTGCCACCTATCAGTGTCCATCAGTGCAGCCTATCAGTGCCCATCAGAGCAGCCTCATTAGCGCACATCAGTGAAGGAGAAAAATCACTTATTTACAAAATTGTATAACAAAAACTAAGAAAAAAATTTTTTTTTCAAAATTTTCAGTGATTTTTGGTTTGTTTAAGCAAAAATAAAAAAACCAGAGGTGATTAAATACCACCAAAATAAAGCTCTATCTGTCACAAAACAATTACAAAAATTTCATATGGGTACAGTGTTGTTTGACCGCGCAATTGTCATTCAAAGTGCGACAGTGCTGAAAGCTGGAAATTGGCCTGGGTAGGAAGGGGGTATAAGTGCCCTGTAGGGTAGCGGTTAAATAGCATCTGTTTTAAGAAGGCACTGTGCAAAACTTTTTAAATGAGGAGGTTTTGTTTATCCTCATATCAGCATAACCTAGTTAGTTATTATGTATAGTTGATGGACTTTTAAGTATAACTAAACCCAAGAACAAAGAAATAATATACAGTGCTCAGCATAAATGAGTACACCCCAACAGATTTGTCAGAAAACCTTTACTTTCATTTCAGAATCAACATTTTCTATGGGACACTATACTTCAAAATACTCCCACAAATGCGGGCCATTGATTGCAAACAAGATTTGTTCATTTGCGCACACAAAAAAGTATTTTTCCTAACAAATTCATTCAAGACCATATTGCAAAAATGAATACATCCCAATGAACGTCTTAGGAGCAAAGTTACATTTTAGACAACAAAATCTTAATTAACAACAATGAAAAACAGTTTTACTTTTAACAACATAAGTGGTTTTTATGTGTTTAGCAGTTAAGCACTCAGCAAGTCCAAAAACACAAACAACTAAAAATAACAGTCACCCAGGCATGATGAGGAGAGATTCCCTTTCTTTACTTTAAGTCTGCTAAGTGAAAAATGATCTTTTATGCAAAGCTATCATTGCTTGTCTATTTGCAGTGGGTTCGCTTACACTCTACGTTGTAATTATAGACAATAGGTTTACTCCCCGCCTGTTACTTTTTTTTCTTTCATAATACATTTTTATTTGGTTTTACAAATATAGCTACAACAAAAAATAAAAAAAACAAAAATAGGACAGTGAAAAGCTACACAATATCACAGTATAGGTGCTGCGGTAAAGATTAAGAGAAAAAAGGAAATATTGAATAATTCCTAACAATCCTACTAGTTCCACGAAATAATCATTTGAGTATCCAAGAAAAGGTTAAACATAATAGTATCTTAGGTTACAGTTCTGAACCAGTCAGACCAGGCTTCCAGGTTTCCAAGCTCTGTCAAATTTGGTAATTCTATCATTTAGGTAAGCTAAAGATTTCTCATAGATGAAGTGGGTCTGGACTAGCTCAATGACTTCTTTTAGAGAAGTCTTTTTTCCAGTATTTACTAATGGTAATTCTTGATGCTAGAAGAATATGTGTCACTAAAAGTTGATAATGGATTGGATATGTCTATATTTATATTCAAAATGGCTAGGGAAAGATCAGGTTGCTTTAATATCCCAGTCATTTCCAATATCATGTGGAAAACTTTATACCAATAGCTTCTAATTTATTTACATGTCCATAATATATGTAATAGAGTACCAATCTGACTGCAGTTTTCAGGCATTAAGGACTATGTTGTTCTGAGAATTTGGCCATTTTGGTAAGTAGTTAGATACCATCTTGTTGAAATTTTGTGTATTAGCTTCCAAAGGTTAACACATCTAGTAGCTGAAAACACATTCCTGAATGCACATTCCTACTGCTCATTAGATATTTCAGTCTCTAAGCCTTTTTCCCACTTGATTAACCACTTGCCTACCAGGCACTTATACTCCCTTCCTTACCAGGCCAATTTTCAGCTTTCAGCGCTGCCGCACTTTGATTGACAATTGCGCGGTCATGCAACATTGTACCCATATGAAATTTTGATCATTTTTTTTCTCACAAATAGAGCTTTCTTTTGGTGGTATTTAATCGCCACTGGGCGCTTTACTTTTTGCGCTATAAATTAAAAAAAGTGCAAAAAATTTGAAAAAAAAAAAAGTTTATTTGTTTCTTTTATAAAAATTTTTCAAACAGGTATTTTTTCTCCTTCACTGATTTGCGTTGATGAGGCGGCACTGATGGGCACTGATAGGCGGCACTGATGGGCACTGATAGGCAGCACTAAAGGGCACTGATAGGCAGTACTAATGAGGTGGCACGGATAGGCGGCACTGATAGACAGCACTAATTAGGGGTCACGGATAGGCGGCACTGATATGCAGCACTGATAGGCGGCACTGATAGGTGACACTGATGATGGGTACTGATAGACGGCACTGACTGGCATCACTTCTGGGCACTGACTGGCGGCACTGACTGGCACAACCCCTGGGCACTGGCTGGTGGCACTGACTGGCAGCACTGCTGGGCTGCACTGGTGGGTGGCACTGGTGGGCAGCACTGGTGGGTGGGCACAGGTGGGTGGGCACTGGTGGGCACAGGTGGGTGGCACTGGTGGGCACAGGTTGGTGGGCACAGGTGGGTGGCACTGGTGGGCACAGGTGGGTGGCACTGGTGGGCACAGGTGGGTGGGCACATGTAGGTGGCACTTCTGGGCACAGGTAGGTGGCACTGCAGAGTGGCACAGGTGGGTGCACTGCTGGGCACAGGTGGGGGCACTGCTGGGAACGGGTGGGCGGGGCTAGTGGGCGCACTGCTGGGCGGAACTTGCGGGTGTCACTGCTGGGCACCGATCATCAGGGCACTGATCATCAGTGCCCTGATGATCGGTGCCGATCCCCGCTCTGACAACTGCCGGTTCTCGGCAGCGTGAGGAAAGTGCAGCCGAGAACCGGCACTTGCATTTCCCTGTGTCATTGGACACCGCTGATCACGTGGTAAAAGGCCGGTGGGATCGGCCTTTCACCACATCACGTGATCAGCTGTGTCCGTAGGACACAGCGATCACGGAGATCGATCGCCGGGTGCGCGCCCCCTGGGGCGCGCAGGGAGAGCGCGCGTTCTGGGAGGACGTCATATGACGTCCACTCAGAACTGGCCGCCGCGGTGAAGCCGTCATTCGGCTATGCGCGGTCGGCAAGAGGTTAAGGGAGTAGTCTTGGTAAATTCTGATTTACATTGTAGAAGGTTACAACATAGGGTTATACCACCTGATTTAATTATAGTGGAGTTATAGAACTGTAAAGATACTTTAGGTATATATATTGTTTTTACTGGATGTTTCAATAGGCAACGACTGATGCATGTATAATTTGAGTTTTCAGAAGGGAGGAGGTTAAATTCTTTCATAAAGAATTCTAAATTTTTATGTCATTTTTAACACAAATATCTTGTATTGTGCGTATGCCATTTTGTTTCCAATTGAAGATATCTATGCTAGGCATTACAACTTCTAAGGCTGTTATAGGTATAGGAAGAGGACTTATTCAAAGAGGATCTATAGGCATGGAGTTTAAGGATTTCCAGGCTTCAATTGAGGCTCGTACATTTGTTGTTGTTTTAATAGTGGAATCCTTTCCCACGAGCTTGCTAGTAGTATGGCGCTTAAATCTGTAGTAGAGGCTGATTTTTTTCGATGTCACCCCATTTTGTATCATCTTCCACTATAAACCAATGTTCGAGTTGATCTAATAATGATGCTTTGTGATAGTCCCTAATGTCAACAAATCCCATTCCTTTGTGTTTGATTAATATATTATGTGAGCATCTAGGTCTCATATTTCCCCAGACGTTTTAAGCATAGATTGTAGTTTTGTTTAGTTATGAAGATTTAATTGGGATTGGAATTGATCTAAATAGATATAAAATCTGTGGCAATATGAACATTTTAAATGCGGCCAGTGTCTGCCAGACCAGGATCGTTCAATGTTTAGCCATTTGATTAAGGTGGGTTTGAATTTTTGGAATGAATTTAGAATAATTGAGAGTTCCTAGGTCAGAGATTTGTTTGTCAACAATATTCCAAGATAAGGAATGGCTTCATTTTCCCAGATGTAGGGAAATTTGTTTTGGAGGTGCATTTTTTAGAATGTGATCTACACCCAGATTTGAGGATATTAGATTTGGTTGCATTTATTTTATAATATGAAATATTACTGAATTGTATGAGAGTTTGTTGAATTGCTGCTAAAGAAGTAGTTAGCATTAAAATTATGTCATCCGCAAAGAGCGTTATTTTGTGGTGGTTTTACCCTATATAGAAGCCATGTATATCTGGATTGTTTCTTATAGTTTCAGGGCAAGAGGTTCAATGGATAGGTTAAAAATTAGTGACGACAATGGGCATCTTTGTCTGGTACCATCGTAATTAAGAATAGTTTTTTTGGATAGCATGTTAGATACATAGACTTGGCGGAAGGATTTGAGTAAAGTGCTGAAATAGCATTAATAATTGTTCATGAAAATCCAAATTTAAAGCAGTATTTGGAACATGTATGTCCAGTGTATCCTATCAAAAGCCTTTTCGTCATCCAGAGCAAGTAATAAGGAGGGAATTTTTTGTGAGTCTGTGTAATTAATTATGTTGATTAGTCTCCGGGTTGCATTAGATGTTTGTCTACCTTTAGTAAAGCCTAACTGATCAGGCTTGATCAAATCTGGGAGTATATTGGCCAGTCTGCACGCTGTAATTTTAGATAAATCTTAATATCAGTATTTATTAAAGAAATAGGCCTGAAATTTTGTGGGTTGTCTGGGATCTTTACCTGATTTGTGGATTGTTCCGATTAATGCTTGTAGCATTTTGGAAGGTAATGAGGCAGAAGAAAATCAGTCTATAGTTGTTTTAAATGAAGTATTTTTGAAAATGTTGTAGTATTTGCTG